AGGACACACTGTACTTACATTATGGAAAGCAATACTTGAAAGATTGTTACATTGAAGGGAGTGTGGACTTCATTTTTGGTAATAGTACTCGCACTCTTGGAACATTGTCACATCCATTGCAAGTCCGTAGGGTTTATAACCGCACGTAGCGTAAACTCTCCACAGAAAAAACTGGTTATGTATTCATGAGGTGTGTGATCATGCCTAATACTTACAACATCATCTTCCCACATAATATTTTTTTTTAGTCATTGTAACTTGTTTAACAAGGAAAGAGACATTTCCCAATCATCTTGTTTCCCCTACAATACAACAGTGTTAGTGACTCTTACTTTGTTTTCCAATTCCAAGGCAAAATATGTTCTCTCTTAGTTCTTCTGATGTGAAATCAAGTAAGTACCTAGGTTGAAGTTTATCATCATGACTGAGTCATGTTTATGAAAACCGATTAAGATAATGAGAGAATGCTCGGTTTTGAAGATGATCTTGGTTTTAAGTTTTGCAGTTTGGTTTGTAAATGTTTAGAAGCATGGCTAACACGGATTTAGGAGTATTTAATTAGAAAAAAACATTCTAGGTTAAAACAAGAACAAGATTCTCTTGAAGCTAGGGAAATGATCCCTTGAAAATTCAATGAATTCAAGAATCCTGTAAGAAATCTTAGAATAAAAATCTTTGAATCTTATACTACTCTATGCTTCCTTGTCAATATTTTTCTCCTCTCCCTTTACAGTGTTTCTTTGGTGTGTTAATCTGTTAAACTTCCGAGTCCAAGAAGGGATACTACACAAGTAAAGTACTTTTATTATGTTGTGAACATTTTGGTTCCTTACATGATGTTTTGTTTGTGGTGTCATTGCAGATGTGTTGTCACAGGTAATGGGGGAACTTCATATGCATATCTAGGAAGACCATGGAGACCTTTTGCAAGAGTGGTTTTTGCATTCACTTTCATGGATCAATGTATAAAGCCTGCAGGGTGGAATAATTGGGGCAAAGTTGAGAATGAAAGAACTTCTTGCTTCTATGAATACAGGCAATCATTTCTAACTCCATTCTCGTAGTATTGTTATTATCACCAAGGCCTTCTTATACTCATTAAATCAATGGATCTGACAACAAAATTGTTGATAATTTCATAAAAACATCAAAGTGAAAGAGGGTCTAAAGTGTATAAAATTGTTGTTTATTGAGTTGAACAAGTTTGGAGTAATTTGATAAGAGTGCAGGTGTTCTGGACCAGGTTTCGTCCATCCCAAAGAGTGAAATGGGCCGGAGAATTGAAGAATGAAGGAGCTCGAACAGCTTCGAGTCACACCTTCATTGATCCAGAATCGGACAGATCTTGGCTTCCTCAAAGAATGACCTTCAATTATTAATTAGGATTATTATTATAATAGAATAATTAATAGATCTTGGCTTCCTTCATAAAATTCCTACTACAAGTCAATATGACACTCGACAATATACCAGAGGACTAATTTTCAATTTTATGATATTAAGACTTTGAATCTTGAGTAGTTGTTAAGTTCTTAAGTTTCATTTGTGTTATGTTTGGATGAATTAAGCACGTACAAATTTTGTAAAATTGGATATACAAAATTTGATTTTAGTTCTTAAGTTTTCATTTGTGTTATGTTTGGATGAATTAAGCAGGTACAAATTTTATGATTTGAATAATTTGACTTTAGTTCTTAAGTTTTCATTTGTGTTATGTTTGGATGAATTAAGCAGGTACAAATTTTGTCAAATTGGATATACAAAATTTTAAATGAAAATTTTCAGATTTGGTTAGATTAGCAATCGAATTTTTGGTCGCTACAAATTTATTATAATATACAATTCAAATTTAGCGACCGATTTAGCGACTGATTTAAATTATTATTTAAATAATTCAATTAATATATTAGCGACCGATTATATCCGTCGCTATTATTTTTAACTTTGTCTCCATTTTAGCGACCGATTTAGCGACCGATTTTAATTATTATTTAAATAATTATATTAATATATTAGCGACCGAATATATCGAGTCGCTATTTTTTAAAACTTTACCACAGATTTAGCGACCGATTTAGCGAATCGATTTATTATATTATTTTCGGTCACTATTTTGGTCTTCAATGCATAAGTGACCAAATTATTTAGCGACCACTTTAGCGACCACCTCATCGGTCGCTATTTAGCGACCAAAATGTAAATCGGTCGCTAACAAATTAGCGACTTGCCCTTTTGCGACCAACCATTTCGGTCGTTAATTTCGGTCGCTAACAGAATAGCGACCGATTTTTGCCCATTAGCGACCGATTTCGTCGGTCGCTAATAGCGTTTTTTCTTGTAGTGAAAAATTATTGAGAAAATTCTTATTTCCATTCCCCACAAATATGATGCAATTGTTGTGATAACAATTGAGCAAATCAAGGATTTGTCTACCTTATCAATAACAAAACTAATAGGGTCTCTTGAAGCATATGAACAAAGATTGAAAATGTATAATAAAGACTCTATTGAAAATGTCTTTCAATCAAAATTCAAATTACGGTCTAAAAATAAAGAAATTGGAAGAAATAAATTTTTAGAAATAAAGCAAACTCTAAAAATTTCTCAAAGCCTAATCAAGATAAATTTCTTCCTTGTGACATCTGCAAAAAGTCAAATCACCCAGAGAAAGATTGTTGACATTGTGGAAAATTTCAATGCCAATGTTGCAAGAAGTTTGGACATGTGGAGAAAAATTGTCGCATAAAAAAGTAAATTTCATTAAAGAACATGACCTTCAACAACATCTTTTCTCTGCTACCCAAGACTCCAATGATGAAACAAGCAAAAATTGGTACTTGGGATATAATACACAAACAAAAGGCTATAAAGTTTATAACTTACAAACAAAGAAGTTAACCATCAGTCAAGATTTTGAAGTTGATGAAAATGCTTCTTGGAACTAGAAAAAAAGGAAGAATAATGAGAAACAACATCTTCCTTCCGATACAACAATCTCAAGGAGAAATTCAAGAAATGGCAAAAGATCCATGCACGTTTCCTTTATCTACATAGTAACAAAATTTTTCACCAGAGTCTACTCCTAGGAGAGTAAGATCATTGGTGGATATATATGAAACATGCAACAGACAATGTTTGAGCCTAAATGCTATGAAGGGGCTGTAAAGCAATATGTCTAGATCAAGGTAATGAAGAAAGAAATTAAAATGATTGAAAAAAATAATACTTGGGAACTAATATATTACCCACATGGAAAAGATGTAATTAGAGTAAAATGAGTTTGTAAAACAAAGCTCAATCCTGACGTCACCATACAAAAACACAAGGTTAGGCTGATAGCAAATAGCTATTCACAACAATCAGGAATCGACTACAATGAGACATTTGTCATAGTTGCTCTTCTAGACACAATTAAAACTTTAACAGCTCTTGCAACAGAAAAAAGATGGAACATTCATCAATTCATCAATTGGATGTCAAGTCAGTCTTTCTAAATGGTGTACTTGAAGAAGAGATACACGTGGAGCAACCTTAAGGCTTTATAAGCAAAGGAAATGAAGTCAAAGTGTTAAGGCTAAGAAAAATACTAAATGGTTTGAAGTAAGCTCCTTGAGCATGGTACAATAGAATTGATGAGTACTTCACTGATCAAGGTCAGGAGGAGCAAGAGTGAGCCAACGCTATATATCAAGACTCAAGGTTAGTTTGATACTCTCATTGTCTCTCTATGTATAGATGATATTATTTACACAGGAAACAATATAAAGATGATAAGGAAATTTGATAAATTATTTCCTCGACATAAAGGTAAGATAACAAAAGGAAGGAATACTTATCTCTCAACAAATATACATCGAGGCTTTATTAAAGAAGTTCAAGATATATGGTTGCAAATCTGGCTATTCCACTCGTGACAAATGAAAAGTTACAAAATGATAATGGAGCACTAGAAGCTAATGCATCACGCTACAAAAATTTGATTGAAAGCTATTACTATATCTTACAATAACATGTCTATATATCATGTATGCTACAAGCCTTCTATAAAGGTTCATGCAAAGATCAAGTCAAATTTACTTTGGAGTGACAAAAATGATTTTAAAATATTTACAAGACACAAAAGACTGTGGTATATGGTATAAAACCATGACCGAATCAAAGTTGATTGATTACACTAATAGCGATTGGACATGATTTATAAATGACATGAAGAGTAAATAAGGTTATGCCTTCTCACTTGATTAAAGATTTTTCTCCTACGCATCTAAGAAGCAAACAACCAACAATAGAGGCAGCGTACGTGACAACAGTTGAAGTTACAAGTTAAGCTATATGAATATGCAGAATACTTGAAGAGAAGAGAAAATAATAACTACAATCTAGTGTGATAACAAGTCAGCAATAGTAATGATAGAATCAAATCCATCATCAAAGAACAAAATACATAACTATTAAATATCACTTCATCAGAGGTTGAAGCGACTAAACAAATTCAACTTGAGTACTGCACTACAGAAGATCAAATTTCAGACATATTTACTAAGACACTACCAAGAACCAAGTTTGAATAGTTAGTTTAAGCTTGGAGTTACAGAAATTTGCATCAAGGAAGAGTGTTGAAAGGTGATGCAAATTTTAGAAAAATCTAGAAATAAAGTCTTAGATACTACTAGAATTAAAAATTTCACATTAGTAATATCTAAAATTATTAGAATATTTTAAAAATATTTAAAAGTAGAAGATAGATAATTTTAAAGTTAAGAAAATCTAAAATTATCTAAAATATTGTAGACTATTTAAAAGGGGTGGATCAAAAATTATTTTCTCCTACTTATTCATTTCTTTCTAAAAATTATTTTCTACCCAAACATCACTATTAAACAACAAACTATTTTTCCTAATCTTCCTAAAATACTAACCATTCAAATTGCATGTAATAGGAAAAACATTATTAATCTTAAAATGTTGATGTTCCTGAACTCAAGCTTTATATGCCTTACCTTTGGATAGTGATTTGTCGGCACTATCGGGTGTTTCTTTCTCTTGAGATTGTTGGGAAGTGTTGATGGCATCAATTGGATCATCTCTTTCTTTGGTGGATGCTACGTTGGTGTGTTCATGATCTGCTTTGGCACCACTTGGTTCTGGCTCAATGTCCATGAATTCATCTGAAATTTCTGGCATGGTTACAATTTGGGTGGGAAGTCCTGCTTCCCTTCTAGAATTCAGTTCCTCCATGAGCTTTGCATAATTTGGACCTGCATCTGGAGGACGAATCATAGATTGTCTAAAGTTGCTAAGACTAGCAAGTTGAAGAGAACGAGTTCTTTCTGCAAACTTTATGACCCCTGCCACGAAAACTAGGGCTGTAGGGATCCATAAGGTGTTTTTAGGAAGTGTCAAGAGGAACACGTAACCTGTTAGAATTACCTGTAAATACAAAGGTAAGATATTTCTACTCATAATAAATTCAGTAAATACATATATAGATATGGGAGATCATATAGACAACCACCAAAACATAAATATTCATTAAACAAATAAATGTATTATTATTATAATCATAAAAAAATTAATCAAAATAAAAATAATTTTAAGTAAAATTATATTATTAAATAAAGTTGTTAGAGTTATACGTAAAGAAAGTTGTCAAAATAGATCTTTCCTTTTTTTTATCTCTGTAAATGAACATCATTCTTCATGTTTGAATTCCAATTCAATCTCATAATTATCCATATAGTTAAATTATTAAAAAGAAAATCTAAAACTTGAATGTAATTCAAATCAATAAAATATGCTATTGTTTTAAATAAATAATTTCAATATTATAAATATAATTTCATTTTAAGCCAATTATTCTCTTCTAACAAACCATATTTTATTATTAGTACTCTAAAAAAAAAGTAACATTGTATTTTTGAAGTTAATAGATTGTATATTGCATAAATTTTCTTAGTTAATAGATAATAATTTGCATGACATAAAGAAATAGTATTATAAAATACTTGGGACGGAAGGACATTGAATATAATTCCAACTCGTCCTTAAAAATAATATCTAAAATTTGAATGTGTACAAAATATCTCTTTTCATCACAAAAATGAAACGAAGAGACAGGCTACACTTTATTCTTTGAAAGCCAACCAAGCTTCTTTTATGGTAACCTTCATAACATCCTTTCATATAGTTTTTAAAGTTGATTCGAATAATTTATTTATTAATTAATTTCAGAAGCATCATCTCTTTGATAAAATAAAAGTTCATTCTAAGATAACAGTTCTCTTATTATATTGGTTTTTGTTTGATAATTATGCCTTTTTATGTATTATGTTTTTATATTATTAAACCTAAGAAAAATTATTAGTATTATTCAAGTTGACTTAATTTCCCATTCCTTCATTTGCATTTTCTGTACCTGGTATATGAGTTCTTCATTACTTTCTTATACCCCAAGTTCTTCATTAAAGTGATATTGGATTGAGTATTTTTAAGTAATATATCATGTTCGAGCTTTGTGATGGAAAGAAACATGTTTGTGAATAAATTATTGATGAAACAGAATTTACACACCTGTGTCACAATGATTAGTAGAAAATTCAAGCTGTATGAACACATAGGTTAAAATTATGTTTACCTGCACAATGAGTTGAAGCATGTGCCTGAGCCAAAGTTCATTGTCCTCCACAGAAAAAGCAGTGATGGTATCAGGGCCACCCAAATGCATCAGCAGAAAGGGTGTCCAGAACGCGAGCAAGTAGTCTTTGACAGTGTCAATTGACGAGTCTTTATCGCCATATTTGTTGGAGATGAGGCCAACACAGTAGTTGGCAGTGACATCTGCAGCAAGGTATACGAACCAAAGCAACAAAACCAACCATGCATTTCTAGAGCGTTTTCTGAAAGGTGCTACGAAGATGAGAAAGATCTGCATGCTCAGACTCACAAGGATAACACCTCGAATGTTCCATTTGGACCAAACATGCTTTGCAAAATTTGGGATAGGGTTAACCATTTCCCTTTCTCTTTCTTCTTCTCTCTCCGACCAGATATCTTTCTTTCCCAATCTTGTTTCATCATTTTAAATAGATCAGCATACATGGATGACATGACCCTTTTTTGTTTTCCTTGAATTGATGTTCAGCTTACTAGTTAAGAAATTCAAACGAAGAAAAAGCACAGTATAGTTTATTAATATATTTAACCCACAAATCGTAGAACTACTTCATGCAAACGTTCCCACGTTGTACCCAAACTGAAGCAAGTTAACTTGCTATTTCTTTCTTTATTTCTTTTCTTAAAGAAAGATTCATCACCAGTGCATAAAAGAGCCAGTTTCTCTTTAATTTGCCTTTGCTGACGGATTATTCTTAATTCCTTTTCCTTTTTGTTACAGTTAAGGCTTGGAGTGGTTGAGATGTAGATCTTCCATCATCACTAAAGAGACAAAAGTCGAAGGTTTTAGCCCTTCCAATATACTCTTCCGTTTCATTCTCTATCTTTATGAACTTGCCTATTAACTGAGATTGGAGAAAACTACATGTTCTGTTCCATGCTTTTTTCTTTTGCTTTGCTCTTTATTGACCTTCTTGGAAAATGGTGTTGGCAAAATTTGGGTTATGTATATATATGATATATAATTTAAATGTGTTAGGGTCATTATTTATTAAGCCAAATAATAAAGTGATTTGACTAAATTAAAATTTTGGCTAAAGACATATGTCATGAAAATAAAATTGTGTAGAGACCATTAAGCAATTTCTAATTTGATGAGGTGACAAATTAGAAATACTAAAACTTAAGTAATTAACCTAATTTTGGTTATTTTAAGGGGTCGTTGTCCCCTTCTGGGAGCACACACACAGAACGTAAGTTTCATTCCTGTTCCTTTCTTTCTATCCCCATCAAGAGAGAAAATCAATAGGGAAATACAGGTGCTCTTCAGGTGGAAGACCATAAGATCAATATAGTACTCTACAAAGACATCATCGTTATGGCTAATTCAAGTACGCTTTCGCATTCAGGTTACTGAGCATGTTTATCGAGTATGAGATTATGTTTATGTTTGATCGTTAGAATCAAAATCAGGATTATTATTATTATTATTATTATTATTATTATTATTATTATTATTATTATTATTATTGTTTTTCCAACAATTGGTATCGAGCCGCCCATATTTGATTTATGTCTGTTTAATTTATAGAACCCTAATTATGAAAATTATGATTAATTTTGTTTTAAACAATTCAAATTACCCAATTTTATGAGCCCTAAGTGGAGAATAATCTCTAATTTTTGTGAACCCTAAAATTTAAATTTGGGGGTAACATCCCCAATCTGATTCTACTTGCACTACAAGAAAAATTCATTTTAGCGACCGAAAAAATCGGTCGCTAATGTCAAAAAATCGATCAGCTAATCGGTTAGCGACCAGAAAGGCATCGTCGCAAAAAGCCAAGTCGCTAATGTGTTAGCGACCGATTTTATTTCGATCGCAAAATAGCGACCGAAATTAATATATCAAATTGGTCGCTAAAGTGGTGACAAATTAAAAAAATAGCGACCGATTTAAATCGATCGCTAAATCAATAACAAAGTTAAAAAATAGCGACCGATTTAAATCGGTCGCTAAATCAATAACAAAGTTAAAAAAAATAGCGATCGATTTAAATCGGTCGCTAAATTAATAACAAAGTTAATTATTTTATTTATTTACATTTTTAATTATATCAAGTTCATTAGACAACTTTTTTTCTCCAATTGGACACAATTGTATTACATAATGAATGCTTAGTAGTTAGTAGTTAAGATGCATTCTCATCCATGAAATGTGGACCAATTTGTCATAAACTTAAGATTTGAGAAACATTTGCAAATTGAAACTGTCAACTTACAGTGACAGAAAAGATTTCTCATTGCCAAGTACTACTAAATGAAACTGTTACACTTAAACACTACTATACACATAATTGCCTTTTTTTATATGATAACTCTAGCACAACCTTAAGAGGGTGTCAATATTGTTTTCTGTGGACTTAAGACTATATTTCAATTGTAGAAAATGCATATATACCAAGAAAGGGTGAGACATAATAAAGGTGAACAAAAAAAAAAATAGTATCATAGTAATGATACATTTCCCTTCATAAAACTGAATTGTAACGTCGCTTCTTTTGTGGTGTTGAATGTGCCTGTGCTTTGATCCCATATGTCTTCAATTGAAAATTTTCAAAAGCCTCTGAAATTGTCTGCACCTATAGGATTGCACAAAGCAATATATTAGTGAATCCAACCTGAATGGGTAAAGGAAAGAAGTTTAAACATGCACATGATAACTAACTAGTTTAGCCTTTTTGGAGTACACCTTAACTATCATATCTTGGTAAGATATAGGTAGCAAGTGGCTTACACGGTCATTGTGTATTGTAAATTTCTCATTGCTTTCATAATCCTAAATGCATTATTGAAACTAGGTAACTCAATACAGCTAGCATAATTTAATTCCAAACTAAGCACCAATAATCGGGCCAAACTAAACCACTTTAAATATTTCAATAATTTTGAACAATTGCAGCCCAGTATCCCAACAGAAGTAATATAAAACAGTTTAAACTAAAACTTATTAGCAAGGAAACTGTCAAACTGCATAAGGTAAGAGGTTTAATAGTGCAAAAAAAAGATATAATCCACTAATACAATATAGACACAGGTAAAACCAATTAATATATAAGAAGATTAAAGAAATATATTGATGAAAGATAGTTAGGTAGGTTTGGCAATGTACCTTGAAAAAGTGGATGCTGCCACAGAAACATGCACCATAAGAGAGAAAAATAATGCATTAGGATAACATTATAGTAAGTTAAAACAAACTAAATGTCTATGTTCAGCAAGCATGATTATTCTTCATTGAATACCTTTCAAGAGGATTATGATTTCCACTAGTCAAATCAATTTTGACGTTACAAACAACTACATCCTCCTCTTTCAGAGTAACTCCACCACTCTTCTGCCAGATACATATATAAAACAAAATGGAATTCCTCCTTGAAGAGAAAGAATCAAAATTATATGCAATTTGCAAATGAGAAGGTTTAATCAGATTGAAGACCTGAGAGCAAACAATATCTTGAGGGGTGACCTTCTTAAAATTGTCTAGCATACCCTTGGGTACTGGGTACTCATTACAAAACTGCAAAACAAAATTCTTCCTCAGGTTCCGCAAGACTATATAATTATAATTATAATTTAATAAATACACACAAACATTTTAGGCCAATGTAATGTAAATTTAGAAACATCCACACAATAGTTAGCATTGAATTTGTGACAAACAGCTTGAGAAGATATGATAACGTAATAGGTAATTGCAGTAGGTAATTGACAACAATCAAAGAAAACCAACGAGGTTAAAAACATGCCTGGTACAAATTCCTCCTTCGAATGCGCAGGATGAACTCCCTGGCCTCCTTTAGTTCTTGACTTGTACTTGTCTCAATAGTTTTAACTATTGTGTCATCCAGATTGCATTTTTAAAGTAAATTACGTTTTATGATTCAAAAGAGCATTGTAAAAATGCTTTTAATTTTGTAAGAAGCCCCGATAACCTTCCAGTACTGAGAATGATTATTTATATGAGATTTCGAAATAACTATTAGCATGAACAAGTGCATTGACCATCATAAGCTCCATTGCCTGGAAACATCAAGATGGGATTAGAAACTGTAAAAACCAAGTATGGTAAGTTCATGGGTATTAAGTAGACAGGTAAGGAAAAAAAAGGCAGGTATCTACATCTACCTAAAATTCAATAATCTTCTTAACAAAATGAACATACTTCATACCTTCACTTTTGGATGTGTATAAACTGTTCTATACAGATAAGCACGAGTGGCAAACATTTTGTGGATGGTAAGGTCTAGTAAATTACGCAGCCAACATGAAAACTACATATTCAGGAAAAAAAATTAAACGGAAATAACAGTATAAGACCCAGAATCAAACCGGAACCCGATTCAACCAATAGAGGTAGTCAGTTTGACAATTCATACAAAAATAAACCAGACCCACACACAATTCATCCTTAACCAAGGAGAACAATCCACAGTAAAAAGGCATAAAAGAAATAGAACATAGCAGCAAAATGTGAACCGAAGGGCTTGACCCGCGACCCCTCTGACTCACCTCTAGTGCGCGGCTGGTTCAATAGTGGAGGTTAGGTTGAGATTTAGGGATGACCACGATGGTGGCCAGGGAGGCGGTGGTGATGACTGGGGTTTGGTGGAGGTTGGATTAGGGTGAGGGCTGACTTGGGGGGAGCAGTGAGGGGGCTAGGGCTCGTCGGGAGTGAGGAGGAGACACTGGTCGTGGGATTTGCAAGGTTAAGAGGAATGGGTGAGTGAGGCGCGAGAGTTAGGGTTATTTGGGGATAAGTGGCGCGAGAGACGAAAGTGAAAAATGTGGTAGTATATGATAGCGGTTAAATCTTAACCGCTATTATAATATCACTTCTAATAGCGGTTAAATCTTAACCGCTATTATATAGCACTTCTCATAGCGGTTAAATATTAACCACTATTATATATTTTCAAATATGATCGATCATTTGAAAATGTAATCGATCATAATAAAAAAATGTGGATGTCGCTCGAGCGAGATCAGTGTCGCTCAAGCGAAAAACAATCCGAGAATGACAATTTTGTGCAGGTGGCGTCGCTCGAGCGATATCGAGCGAGCCCATGTCGCTCAAGCGAAATACAACCCGAGAATGCCAATTTTGTGCAGGTGGCGTCGCTCGAGCGATGTCATTTTCGCTTGAGCGAATTTTGACCTGCTAACCGTCGATCAAAGTTAGCCGGATAATGTAACATGGGTGACCTCATGTTTGAATCGGATGTCGCTCAAGCGAAATACAACCCGAGACTTCAAAATCTTAAAATCTGGTTGTATATGATAGTGGTTCCACTGGTACCGCTATTAAAAGGGCACTTCTAATAGCGGTTAACCCTCAAC